AGAGAGAGAGAGAGAGAGAGAGAGAGAGAGAGAGAGAGAGAGAGAGAGAGAGCATACGAGTACACACATAGGGAACTAAAATAGTTAATTAAGAGTATGATTTGTTCAGAGTAAAGTATCCGATGTGATAGGAGACATCCTACCCCGGCTTTGAAATAGACTTCTTGATCCCTCCCTTTTAAAATATTATGAAGTTTGAAGAATCAACTATATTTTTACATTGATTGGGGTGAAATGTAGTGTTTTGACATGAGTGAATGCCTGATAGCAGCTGTATGAGTTGTTTTGGAGAAGGAAAGAGAAAAGAAAAAAATGTTAAGGAGGAGGAAGAGGAGGGGGCAAGAATGAGGGGAAGGCGGAGGTACAGGAGGAAGAGGAGAAAAAAGACAAAAACACACACAAAACCATATAGAAAGAGAGTGTGTATAACTTATGTGTTTGCGTGTGTATAACTTATGTGTTTGCGTGTGTATGTGTGTGTGTGTGTGTGTGTGTGTGTGTGTGTGTGTGTGTGTGTGTGTGTGTGTGTGTTTGTGTTTACCTAAAGTGGTTTCTGTGGGCTTCTACATGCGTGTTGGTATGTTTGTGAATGTTCAAAAGGTTTTTCTTTTGCGTTGTAGATGGAACTTGTAAGGTGACACCAGGGTTATATTTTCTGGGAGTTTTTTTCTTTGGGAGGGGGGAGGGGTTCGAAACTTATAGTACTAAAATTTCACAAATTCTATTTATTATTGATTTTTTGTTTCTATTCTGACTTATTTTTCTTTCTAAGAAGTACAAAATACGCGACACACTTGGGGGGTCAATATTTAAATATTTTTTATAAAACCCAAAGCTTTACAAACTGAACTGAAACCCCACAAGAACATAGCTCAGCAGTATCTAGGTCATGAGACCATAGTACTGCAGATTCTTACTCCAGGCACGTTTCTAGATTAGTACCCGGATTTCCCCTTTCACATTGTCATAAACCCCTGGTTTTATATTCATCACACCGTGCTATCATGAATCTTCTTGACCTTCTCTGATTCTTTGAGCAGTTTACATAAAGTAATATCTGCTTCAGATTATTACGTGAAGTTTTCAAGACTTATATTTTATTATCAAACACGTTGTAATATCACTGTAAAGGGTGTCACTAGGTACGTCCTTCTGCGAGATACAGCTACTTACCAAGAAGATAGACCGAGTTTTGATTTGGGGTTGTTCACGTTTTCGACGAGATGCACATTACTTTGTATAATGATATATCTAACATTGACAGTTTATCTGTACGCCATTGTAAACTGAACTTCCACAACGATAGGTAAATGTGCTGGTTTATTTAAGTCGATACACATAGGATAGTAATGCTACTGATTTTATTAACACTTGTAAAGTTATAACTTTAAAATTAACAACACCTATAATAAAGAAGAAAGCAATTCTGAAAAAAATAACAAGGCAATATAAAGAATAGTAAAACTTTTAGAAGTGATGTTATTTGATAAAAGTAATGCTTTACAACCATAATCGTCAGCATAATCATCTTCTTTCAGCTTCAGCAACCCTGATTTTTTTAAATAAAAAAGTTACTTCTCTGACAAAAATCAAAACAGACCAATTCACAAAATTACGAACGAAACATAATAATGTATTCCAACAAAAGTGGAACTCCACAAACACCCAAACGAAACTTCTGAATCATAGTAACTCGAAAAGTGATCCGACTGGACTGGGAGTCTACTGCTATTTACTATGACCATAGCGCCGTCCAATCAGTGCTCCTTCCGTAGGGGAGAATGAAATTTCATTGGTTTATTCCTTAATCCTATCCATACGCCCTGGGGTTATTTTGTACATCCAGTGTTGTATTCTTCACATTTTAGAAAATTTCTAGTACGAAGATCTCTTTAAAACGTTCAGTATTTCTCAAAAAATCATTTTTGGCAGACTGCTATAAAAAGCGTACGGATCGGATTAACGAGTAAATTTCCTCTTTGGAAAGTGGTGGCACAGAGTTCCCCAAGTCGTTTGGATACGACAGTAAAATACGACGCACGGATAGGGTTAAGCCCCGCGCTTACGTTCCCATTAGGGTATTGACCTCGCACTGCTCAAGGCCGAGACAATGCAATTGATTGTTACGCTCGTGGAATTGGGAGGGAGAGGGGGTGAAGCTGCCAGGTGTCACATGATTAGGCATCAGTGCTTGACTTTTGATACCAAAAGTGCACTCTCTTGCGGTTCCAGGCCAAAGCGTAGACTGAGCTCGCCCCACTCCCCCCCCTCCCCCTAATAAAAAACCACCCTTATTTATTTCTTGGTTCTCTGGAGGTTCTTTGGTTAATAAGCCGTCTTACTTATGATGGTGCTTTATGCTAACATTGGGTGTGCACACTTAAATGCTGTTTTGAGCGCGTTAACTGATAGTGATTTCTTGCGTGTGTACTATCTTCACTGGTGTTTTGTGTGTGGAGATAGGACAAACAAAGAAGTAAACGCCGTTGTATTGTCTCAATGAGTTGAGGTAATTTTAAACTGGAATATAATGATTGTTCTTCACCTTGTAGGTGTGTTTGGAGTGTGGATTTTCACGGATTTTTTGCAAACGTGAATACTACCTCAGGAAAAAATTCGTTAAAATCATCTAGTAGGTTTAGGAAAAATTCGTCGAAGTGATTTGTAGATCTAAGTTTTGCCAAGATGCTGTCTAAAAAACAATTTCTTTCCATGAAAAATAAGTGCGGTATTAATTACGTAAGACTTGTGAACAAAATCCAACATGGCTTCCGTATCCAAGGAGACAATTGTTTTTCTCAAATTTAATTGTGGATTTTAAGACTTCTTACTATGCTTGTTATATGAGTGACATTTGGTAACTTTCGATCTACTAATAAGCGAGATAGCCTTCAGCTGCTGCTCTCTTAGATTGATATTTGAGGTCAAGTTGCGCCTCGAACCTGATAACCTGAACAGAGTAAGATCTGGACACCATGTTGGAAGCCAGGACCTGAGACGTGTTTAGATGAACAGACTAACATCCCAGGCACCGATTACTTTCTTATTTCTGATGCTTAGACCTTGGTGATAGTGTCAATGCAGTAAAGACACGGCTAGCTGTAATAAAGTGTTTTTTTCTCTACTCCATAATTCATTATATATATGCCCCCACCCTCTCTCTATCTATCTTTCGATCTATCTATCTATCTCTATACACACACACAAACATACACACACATATATAATATATATATATAATATAATAAATCTTTCTAGGGCAAAAAAACTACTTTGATTTATAGCGAGTCAAACTGCTCTAAAAAGATTATGAATGTGGTTGCTGCACAACAATTTGAGCTGATTTATTGCGTTCTGCTATAATTTCGCAACTTATGAATTTCGCCTCACCCCGCGTCATGCCCTTCTTCTAATCCATCAATCTGTATGCTTTGCAGGCATAGAGGATACCAGTCTGTCTCCCTGGCGAGTGATTTTGCTGCCCGTTCTTCAACGAGAAGGTGAGTTGAACGTACAACAGCTAGCTTTGCTCCCCAAAACGTGTAAATAGAAGCATTGTAGAGCATCTAATACTTTCTAACTGGCCGGAGCTATGAGACAATGAAAGAACAGTTTTAAAATGGTCCCATCAGCCAACCATGTTTTCATACTAAGAAACACAAACTCCCTTTTTGGTCCTTTTTCTAAACAGATAGGTGTAGCACATGTATTTGCCAATTTCTAGAAATTGACATAAACATTTTTTTACCTTAAAGAACTCAAGGACCTTTCATTTTCTTTTCTTTTATCCTCTCCATTCTATATACGCCTATCCTTATTAGATATTCACCATGTTATGCCCTATTTCTCTATAATATTGGTTCTTTTCAATGGCTTCTATTTCGCACATATTGATCTTTGTGCTTATCTTTTCAAAAACATCTAATGATGAGGTAAGCAAACTTGATAAATCGATCTTGTTTTCCCTTTTATGCATACCATTACAACGGAGGTCTTGGCAATCTGGGAGGTGCTGTAGACCACTGAAGAAAATAACGTTCCTATTCTGATCTATTTATATAACATTCCTGTAATGAATCGCCATTCCTTTCCTTTTCCCTATCGGGAAAATGTAGTCAAGAATGCTTTGAAAATAGTTCGGTCTCTCTTGTTGTTGTCTTGACAATACTCATTTCTCTACAACTGTGCTTGGCGTCAGTTATCAACAGCTGGTGTGATGTAGCAGCTGTCTGTTATTTGAAAATGTGCGACATTTCTATTGTGTTATACTATGTGGTCACCCTTATAATACGCCTCCACTGGTTTCTTTTGTTTGCTCTGTCTTCTTTAAACCCTCTCTTATACGCCCTTTTTTAAACCTTTGTTCATTTTTGCCCTATTCTCTCACACTAACTTTTTTTCTGTTTTAAAATATCCTCTCACACGAAAATAAAGACTCCACCCTGAAACTAGTTTCATGGAATAATATGAATGACCTTGAAGCGGAGCACTCTATAATATTGAGAGTTGGGTATTTCCAAACCCTACCACTCGTGTTAGCAGTAAAAAAGCAAAGTTACATCGTGAATGGAACGTGATTACTGGAGGAAATGGCGATCGACTTTAGATACAATTCAAATAATTGCTGACAAATGGCCCGTGGAGCTACATTTTCCTTCTATCAGTGAGCTTTATTGAGTCGTTTTTCTTCTTCATTTCATCTTTTTGTCGTTCTGGATTTTCCCATTTTGCAAAACAAAAAAACAAAAAACCCCCCAAAAAAAACAACCAAAAAAAAAACAATTTTTAAAAATGAATCTGTATCTTGTTTCTTTTTTTTTTTAACGCACAGGAACAATATTATTAGTTTACAAACTCTCAGTTTCAAAAAGTGATAACAAAGGTTTTAGACGCTATACAAACTTTTCTTTTGAAGGGTTCCAAAATGTTGTCAACTCATGAGTTTGGAGAAAAAAGAATTAAAGCCAAAACACGCCAAGATCAGGGGTATGTAAGCTCCTCTGTCAATAGAATGACACATTTCTTCTTCTGTGTATAAAATGGTAATATACAAGAAGGATACATGATCGACGACACATTACGAGTCATATTACGACCTGTGTCTTTGGAATAAAATGTTATAAAGATATAATATGCTGAAACGTACTGCTACTGGATGTTGTTGTTGTTTTTTTCATAATATCTCCTCTTTACTTTGATTCCTACCTCCTTCCCACATGTTTATTGTAACCACAGGGACAAGTAGCCGTCTTTTGAAAAGACCTATTTAATATGCTAGTAACGCGTTACTACCAGCGTTTGTGGTGTAGAGATTACGTGCTTTGCCGTAGCACACAATGGACCTCAGTTCATTCAATCCTTGTATGGGAAGAATTATTATCAAGAGTCTGGACTTTCTCCTTGGACGTTGTTCTTGCTGCTAAGACTTTGTTGCCCTTTCAGCCGGATAGGACCTGGCATGTAAGGTACAAACCCGCAATGTATATAATCTTTTAAATTGAGTCGATTCTGTTTATTTTGAGGGTTTTTGTTTTTTCAAAAAGGGGAGGGAGGGGGTCAAATAAAACACATACGTTTGTATGGAGAAACAAAGAAAACTTCACGTCGGTCAAAATTTGCATAATCATTAAGTTATTCACATATTCTGATTTAGAAAACCATTGTTTATATTATTGTGTACGGTACTCTAGTTCATGCTTACACCTTCAACGGTTCAAAAGTTGTGAGTATTTGAATGATGTAGAACAGGGAAATCACACCTCGGAGAAAATGGCGTTTAAAGTCTAGAAAACAGAAAATAATAATTTTCTATCCCATAATTTCGCTGATGTTTTTTTTATTGGAAATGATACATAATGTAATGTAATTTCCACCTTAACCTCGATTTCTCCCATATGACTCCTTATTAACTAAAATCGCACATATCAGAAACATTCAAGGCGAGAAACGACAGATTTTCCAGTGACGCCAAATATTAAAAAGAAAAAAGGGCGTTAATTTCGTTAGAAAAAAAGAGATGATTTTCCATTTGAAAACTGCGCATAAACATCAGTGAATCATTTCCATAATATTCTGAGTTACGTCAGAGGAAGACGCTCTATTTGTTTGCGTTAGGAGAGAACTTTCTAAACAAGATTCGCAAAATTGGCTGGTGTATTTTTAGGAGAAAATTTATGTTCAAGGCCTCCTCTTCCGTCCGTCTGGGACTACGAAAACTAAACGTCAGATTGAGGGTTACCCTTTTAGGAAAGATGGATTATTTTAGCTGTTACAGTTTATTGTCATTCTTGAGTTTTCACCTAAAAAAGAGTCTGTTTCTAAGCAGACTTGGCGTCATCCTTAATTACTCTGGAAAGAGTGAGTTAAAGAGAGACAGAGAGTCAGAGAGCGAAACAACAAGAGAGAAAGAGAGAAAGAGAGAAAGAGAGAGGGAGAGAGCGAAAGAGAGAGAGAGGGGGGAAGAGAGAGAGAGACAGAGAGAGAGAGA